TTTTTTGGCGGAACTGGGGTTTGAACTCAGGCCCTTGGCTTGCCCAGGAAGCACTTATGTCCTACATTTTTTAAACATTAAGCATTCGCTGTCTTTTCTGATCACACCACATACAAGCTGCCTGAGGGCAGGAACCTCATTTGTGACCCTGTTCCGTGGCCAGCACCAAGGATGGTGGCAGATACTTGTGTATAGCAAAAGAATGAGCTGCGAATTTTATTCACCAAGATAAGGCCAACACACAGTAAATGCTTAATTGAAAACTTCTTTGAAAACTGTAACTGTAACCAAAGGACAGTGAGAGGGAACAGGCTCCGTGGTAGCATTGTCCTCAGTCCAGGCGGCGCACGCGTTGTGGCACAGTAAGTGCGGCACTGGAACGTGACAGAGGACTGGCCCCACTTTAACACTTGTCATACTCTGCAACTGTAAGTGAAAGCCAAGGCCAAGAGCAGTGCTGGTGGGCACACCTAGCAGAGACCTGTGCTCGGAGAGCACCGCAGCCATCCTGCACAGCTGGAGGCCTGAGGAAAGGGCTGTCCCAGCCAGGCTTGGGCTCCGGCACGAGGGGATAAGGACACCACAGGACCCACAGCCAACAGCTTGGCTGGGCTTCAGGGTAGAGGTGAACACCACTTGCCTCCCAGCAGGCTCCTCTTTATTTCGAGCACTACAATCTGGTCCAGCTTTCTGAGTTCACACTATGTACAGGCGAAAACACACACCCTGGAGCTGGGAAGCAGGCTGGGGCACCTGCACTGCCAACCACCCACGGGGTGGCCATGGGTCCAGGGGCAGATTCCACCATACCCGTGTTCCAGGACACATGCCCAGTGCCTGTCTTTGGCCGCCAGCTTTAGAGACTGCAAGTGCTCTGCCTCAGCACGTTCCTCTGGTCCCTGTGCCCTTTTGTGTTGATGAAACTAGTAAATCACAAATCCTGGGCTGGACAGACAAGATGGCACTGCCCAGAAGCTGCTAGGAACTTTTCTGATTCTTCCTCCGCTCTTTCTCTCCTTTCTTGCCTTCTTCATTTTCTGCACAACTCTTCTTTGTGTCGTGAAGCACGTCATGCAGTTCACTTGGCTCGCACCCGCTTCATGCGTGGTGTGAAACAACCCAGCCTGAGCCTCTAGCATCCCCGTAACAGCTCAGCCTAATGCCTGGTGGAGAAAAGGGATTTCTGTCCTTCTCCGACGTGCTACCCTGTGTCTCTGTTACAAGACTGGCCCCAGGCCTCCCTCCTCAGGAGTACTCAGCTCAGGACAGCCCTTGACGGGAACTCTTGTCTCCTGAAAGGGCGTGTATCAACCGTCGAATGTCTTTTCTTCTCTCCTTGTGAGGCATAAAGCAATAAGTCCTCCTCAAAAATCATCTTTTGCCTATGTTTTGAAAAAAAAAGAGACAATTATGGCTTTTCAAAATGAAGCCGTTTCTAAGCAAATACAGCATAACCCAGCACCAAGGCCTATTGCTGACTTGAGTACACTTGTCCTGAGATGGCCTGGAGGGTCTCAGCCCTTAGTTGTTCTGTGTAGGAGCACGCTGCCTTTCTCTTGTAATCTGTCTCCCTCCCTGTTTGCCTCACTTCCACATCTCTTCTTTGCCTCTTCTTTCTTTTCTCCTTCCCTGTCCCGCCCCCAATGACTACCTGGCCTGAATCTGGGCTCAGTCACTTAGGACCCCACAAGCACCGTCCTCGTAGATGAGATCAGAACCGCACCAAAGCGACTGAGCTGCTAACTCCCCTGCCCCTGCGGATGAGCACACAGGCTGTGTGACATGGCACCTCCTGTGCCAAAGTCACTCAGCTTCAGGTACACTCAGCTCAGCACAGCTGGTGTGACAGGAAATGGGGCAATGATTCTGACGAGGCTCTGGGAGGGTTTGGGTAGCAGTTGAACCTTAGGGTCTGACAGGTGTGTCAGACTGCCAAGCGAGTGACAGGAAAGCAGAAAAAGGGCCGTGCATGCGTTCACCAAGGACGAGAAGGCATTTTCCAGAGGTCTCTGAGAAAGGGGCAAGAACTAGAACTCAGGGCCTAAGGGGTCCAATTTCTCCCAGAAGGGCAGCAGGCCACATGCTGTGTGTGTCCTGCAGGGCAGGTTCGCTTGGGCTTCAACAAGCGCAGCAGCACCCACTCCTGTACCTCAGCCCTGGCAGTGGAGGTGGTGATAATAGGGCCCAGGAAGCCCCGAAACACATGTCCCCGTGCATGCACTTTGTAGGCCTTCTCAAAGCTCCCCCAGCTCACTGCTTGCTCCTCTGTCCCCAGGACCAGCTCTCCGAGCCCCGCTCCCCAGCCAATGGCGACTACCGTGACACGGGGATGGTCTTGGTGAACCCCTTCTGTCAGGAAACACTGTTCGCAGGAAACGACCAAGTGTCCGAGATCTGATTGCAGCAGCCTTTGCTTTGCCATTCCCTATTTTTCATCTTTAAAAATTATAAATATACAAATATATATTATAAATATAATCTTTGTGTAACCCTGACTTAATGACAAACATTTTCAGCTTTTTTTTCCTAAGAATTGTCAACACCTTTTTTATAAGTGTGGTTTCAAAACAAAACAAAAATCTTTACAGAATGACCTGTGGCTTTATAAAATAAAGGTATTTCTAAGCAAAGCAGTGGCATTGATTGCTTCTCTTAATAACTGTTCTTGAGTATGTGGGGCCCCAGCAGCCCAAGGCAGGTGAGGGCAGAGACGCACCTGCCCTGGACGCTGCATGTCAGAACTGCCACGCACTGTTCTTTGTGTGACTCTGAAAGCTCTGGTTCCTCTAGGCTTAGTGTGGCGCCGGCTCCTCCCTCCAGGGCCACTGAGGAGGACGACGCAGGTGGTCACCTGCAGCATCACAGTGGCACCACTGATGTCAGGTTTGACTTCACCCAAGTTGCAGGCAGCAGGCAGGAACATGCAGCCCTTCGGAATCCACAAGGATGTGGGGCACCCGAAAGAAGCTGCATCCCCTCCCTAACATCATCCATACTGGTGACAGGACTGCCCTCCACCGCCTGGGGCAAAGTTTGGTTTCTTTAAAGGCTCCCTTGAAGAGCCCCTTTCTCCATCCGCTCTGCTACCCATCTCTGCAGTGAAGCCCTGTGCTTTCTCTTGGGTGGGTGTAGACCCAGATCCAGCCCCACAGCTTCTGAATGCGTGCCCTTCCTTGAGGGCCAAAGATTTATCTGCAAGCTTAGCCTTGCTTTCTGTAAAGGCAGCAGTACCATAGCCCTGAGGAATGGTTCATCTAGGAAACTTTGAGGTACAGAACTGTGATTTTTGAAACCTTCCTCATGCAATCTGAAATGAACAAGAAAGGAGTCATTTGAGAGAAGCACCATTCTGTGCTGCCTGGCAGCCTGGCGCCCGAGGACTTGCCACCCGCTCATCTCCCGTCCCCTTCAGGTGTGGCTGCCTCTGCCACCTCACTGCGCCCAGCGCAGCCAACAAGTCAGACCCCTCCACCGCCACAGGGAGTTCCTCACATGGCCCCATTTTTCCCCAGTAGTGGCTAAGAGAAAAATAACTGCTTTGATGTTTCTTTTCTCAAAAAAAAAAAAAAATAGTTTGATAGTATATTTTGAATATAGATGTTCTTATAGTCAGATTGGGAATCAAATTTGAATGTTGCTTCGTATGTTTGTGTCTGTTGCTGTGGTCTTCTACCATGACTTTTTCCTTTCTGCCTATGTTTTCCTTTTCAAAAAAGAAATGGCCTTCAAAAATGTGTGTTCTCAATGTTGTATGAGCTGACTTAAACAATGAGCTTTCTTCTTGTCTCTCTCAAAAGACTTCAGCTGACCAAGAAGCAGGTTAAATGTTGTTTTGAGATTTGTTTCCTAACATGTTGTCTGATTTTAACTTTATCATAATGTTTCTGTTAACTATTGCATTGACTATTTCAATGTGTGTGAGTATATAGAGAGAGAAATCTGTAAAGTAAAATTTATATATAATATATGTAATCAAAGATACATATGTTATATATACACTTGTGGATGTATGACTTATTTTTCCGTATCCACAGAATTCAGCTATCATGTATATATAAATAAACTTATTTTACTACCCAGATGATTAAGATGCTAATACATTCTGCCTTCTTTTCATTTTTAAAATGACTTAAGCCTCACTTACGCAGTACAAATACTACTTCATATCTGTCTGTATTTTTTAATTTGATTTAACATTAAGCTGGGTTTTGTGAGTGTGGTGAGATAATAGGATTAGCAGTTTCTCATTGGTGAAACATTCTTTAAAACATATTTGTGACTCCCCCCCAAAAAAAGAAAGAATCACATCTCTTTAGGTCTTCAGAGAACTTTTCCCCTCTCCAGAGCTTGGCACATTTATGATAAATATCTTTGGGTGGAGAATCCTAAAGTTAAGCACGGAGTTACCAGCCTACGCAGGATCAGTGTTGAAACATGACACCATTGCAAACAGTGGAGTAGCTTGAGTCTGTCCTTCATTTAACCTTGAATGGAGTTGACCCTATTGCAGATCCTCCCCCAGCAGTGTCATCTCTATTAGGATGCTGTTGTCATGGTCACCAGTGCACCACATACCATTCTTCACTGCGCCGATGCCACATATACATTTACCAGGGCACTACCGCCTTTTGCTTAACCTAGTTGGTTCTTTAATCTGTTAACCAAAGAACCAACATTAATGTTATAAATGCCTCTCATGTCATATAAAGTACACAGTGCATAAAGGGGGAAAGGGAGAAGGAAAGGTCATGGTGTCCTAACCAGCAGGAATGAAGAACATGGAACATTCTAGTGGGTACCAGGTTTTTTAACATGGCCTGTGTGGCCTTCGATCATGCCCTGTTCTGTCAGTAGTGGGTGTGGGACAGACTCTGAAGAGGCTCCTTAGCTCAGCTCTGCTACCGTCTGGATAGGGGATCTTGGGTAAGTCACTGTAGTTCCTAAGGTCCATCCACACAGGTTTCTAGTAGCCAGTTGTAGCCATACACTCATGCTTCCAGAGTTGTGCAGAGCAAAGCCTAAGCAGCAGTATAGTATCTACCGTGTGTCTCCCTGTCTTCTGAGGTTCAGTTGAGAACTCAGTGAAATAAAAAATGAACTCATGCACAGCATGGGACAGATTCAGTACTCACTCAGGAGGTTCTCTTCCCCTTCTCTTTGCAGTGTATTCCCATGTGCCAGATCTATGAGAAATATGCTGGATTTTGGCTTTCTGGCTTCTCTGGGGTAAGGCTTCAGGGCAATCCATGCTGTACGCTTAGGCCCATGTTGTCCTCCTGAGGCTCAAATGACCTTTCTGAAGTGAGAGGGGGTGTGACCTTTAAGAACGTGAGTTAGTGGATGCTAAGGGCAGGCATTAAAATCCAGGGGTCTCACCAAATCCTAACGTGATGCAACTTGGAGGAGCTTCCCAGGAAGCATTGCTGGGTGTTTCTTTTCATTAGTTTTCTGACAATTGGGGAAGCAGAGGGACAGCAGACCAAGCACAACAGGTATCCAACATGCATGGAGCCCAAACTTGCCTGAGAACCTGAAGTCTGCTGCATCAGAGAGTCCAAGCCTGGGCCAGCACAGGAAGGAAGCAAGGTCTGGAGGGGTGAATCGTTGAAGCCAAGCTCAAGCAGCTGATGAGCAGGGATGAGCTGATGGCACCTGTGGCCAGGCCTGAGCTCTGCAGGCCCTGTAGGAAACCCCTGCTGATGCCCAGGTGGGTCACATGAGCACCCAGGCCTTCTGTGCACCCATTGGGCTGTTTGGTGCCTACTTGGCTCTCTCTTTGGCAGTAAAGTCCACAAAACTAGCTGATCCACCCCCCACAGCCCGCACTGACCCAGCCTCCCCCACAGCAGAAGAACAATCTGGGTGGCTGGGCACATGACCTCACATCACAGGACGCATGAGTGCCTCTCTGCATGCAGCCCAGACAGGACTTGTCTCCCTTTCAGTTCAGTGAATGATGGAAATGAATGGAAAATAGCATACAAAGAGCTCTGGGGGCAGAGCAGCTTCCAGAGAGGCCCATGCCCAGGCCACGGTGACGCTGGAGTTAGAAACCAAAAGCCACTGGACTCTGCAAACCTGCTGGCCAAGGCAGTAGGAGGGATGAGTGAGCAGAGAGTGGTGGTGGACTTGCCCGCCGGCACCAGCCCCAGCATGTCCCTCCAGAGACCCAGGGCATCCCTCCGGGGCACAAGGTCACCATCCTCTCTGGAGAGCCCCCCAGCCTCCAGAGCCAGTGTTGTGGGGAGCCTTGGCCGTGCCCCTGGAGTCTACATAGGGGCAGCGCCCAGCGGGAGCATAGGTGGCCTGGGTGCTCGTGTGACCCGCCGGGCCCTGGGCATCAGCAGCGTGTTCCTGCAGGGCCTGCGGAGCTCAGGCCTGGCCACAGTACCAGCTCCAGGCCCGGACACTGACCACGCAGCCAGTGAGGACCTAGGCGGCTGCCTGGTGGGATACATGGCCAAGGTACATGCCCTTGAGCAAGTCAGCCAGGAGCTGGAGACACAGCTGAGGGAGCTCCTGGAGAGCAGGGCCAAGCGCTCGGGAGACTGGGGTGCCCTCCGGGCCTCCTGGGCCAGCAGCTGCCAGCAGGTGAGTACAGGCAGGGCCCTGGGCTGCGGGCGGACGCTGAATGCTAAGGGCCGCGTGGGAACAGCGGCAGCCAGCGCTCACCGAGGATGAGCAGCTGGGTGGTGCAGCAATACGGTAGCCTTCAAGCCAATGCAGAGAAGCATAACTGCACTTTGCAGAGGAGAAATCTAAGGCATGCGGTTTGCCCAAGATCACAAAGCCAGCAGGGGAAGGAGCCGCAGCTTGAATCTGCATCTCTCCCGGCCCATAGTTGCACTTGTCCCATTAAGCTGAGCTGCCTCAGTCACCTTTACTATCAGGAAAGGGTTAGTTTTGGTTTGGTTTCCTGCAGTGTTGGAATTGCACCCAGAGCTGCTGTGCCACCCAGCCACACCCCCAAGCCCCTTTTGTTTGTTTGTTTTTTGCTTTGTTTTGTTTTGGCAGAACCAGGGATTGAACTCAGGCCCTTGCGCTTGCCAGGGAAGTGCTTATTCCACTGAGCCATCTCCCCGGCCCGTTTTGTTTCTGAGGCAGTGTCTTGCTAAATTGCCTGGGCTGCGCTTGAACCTGAGAACCTCCTATCTCAGCTTCCAGCACAGTTAGGGTTACAGGCGTTGGTCACTCTACCCAGCTAAGGGTTTTTACAAGCATCATCTGACTGAATATCGATGAATAGATGTAGTATTAAAAAACAATGAATAGGGCGGGAGTGTAGCTCAGTGGCACAGCACTTGCCTGGCAAGCACAAGGTCCTGATTTTGATTCCTGGTTAAAGTAAGAAAGAAAAATGAATAGAGATATATTCCTGTAACTAACTATAATAGAGATACAAGCTACATCTAATTTACTAGTTTCTATCACCCACAGTAAAAAACATAAGAAGAAACAGGTAACATCAATATCAGTACCATGTTTTGTTTAACTAAATGCTGTCTATCCAAAATGCCATTTCACCATGGTATAAAAATATTAATGAGACAGCTTAGATTCAAATAGAACTTTCTGTGGTGATGGGACTGTCTTCCATTACACTGTCCAATCTGGTAGCCACCAGCTATTACTGATGATTGAGCACTTGACATATGACTCATGAGACCAATGAATTAAAGTTTTTATTTAATCTTCACTACTTGAAATCACCACACACGGCTGGTGGTTACCCTGTTGGACAGGGCAGGATGCAAAGGCTTCCTTCTCCCGCCTTGCATAGCTGGGTAGTGCTACTTTCCTGCTCTCTGGGGCCATTTCCACCCAGCACCAGACTCATGCATCACATGGATCGGCAGCCTGCAGTTCTGTGACTGGACTCAGAGCATCTCAGTGGTCTGTCTGGATGGCTGGCTGCGCTCCCACCTCCTTCTCAGATGCTGGCCTTGGGATCCCCTTGAGTTAAATCAGTCTGCCATGCCAACAGGAAGTGCCAACTCAGACGCCTGGCCTCCTGGGGTCCTTCCCCAAGAAGATCACAGACCATCCTCTGTGGCTGGGAAATGTACACAGGACCTCCACATTGGGCCCTGCCGCCCATGTTTTATCTCATGATGCTGCTTCATTGTCATCCATGCAAGGCTGACCGCACAGCACACATGATGTACAAAGCTGTCCCCTCAGGCTTCCCCACTGCCACTCTGCCACCTGCACCCATGTGTGCTGTGAGGGAGGGACAGCTGCGTCAGGACAGTCAGGGCCTCAAGGCATGTCAAACCAAAGGGGCAGCCATTCCTCCAGGGATCTCACTAGGCAGACACTCAGATGCTGCACAGTGGGCCAAGAGCAGGCAGGCACCTGAGCCAGAGGGCCAGGCACCAGCACTCTGCCTCTACTCAGCACACGGCCCCGTGCCCAAGCCGCAGCTCACCTGCTCAACTGCCTGGCTCTCGGGTTCCTCACCTGCAAAGGGGGTCTGACAGTGCCTGCTAATGCAGCAAAGCTAAACAGAAGTGGACGGCAGACTAGAAAGCTGTCTAATACCTCACCAGCAGAATAAAGAGCAAACCCACGATAGTCAGTCTCTGCTGCTGGGACAGATGAACTGAGACAGCAGGCATTTTCCTCTCCTTTGTCTTTAAACAAAAAAAATAAAAAGGCAGATCTCTTTTTTTTTTTTTTTCTTTTTTAAAAAGTATGGACTTGAAGATAAAATTGCACCAACCTTTAAAATGGTCTTACTTCTGTATGGCCCAGGATAGCCTTCTAGCCAATTATTAAACTCTATTCCATTAAGCAGGGCAAAAGAAAATTCTCCATGCTACATTTGAGGAAAACACATGATTTTTCCACTAAAGCTTTCTCCCTGCCAGGCCTAGGCCCAAAGTCCACTCCGGCAAGTTGTCACCATACGAGTGCTGTCTCACTCACCCAGCTCTGCCACCTAATATCC